TATTTATTCTTTATGAAGATGCTTACATGATTTTTGACATTTAAAATAAAATCTAAAACAACAAAACAAAAATGTAGCTTATTGGCTATATCTGGAAATCACATTTTTAAAATTAATACATAAATATTTATGAAATTAGTAAGTGAACTATCCGTAGGAATTTGAGAGTAGATTTTATCATGAAATTAGTAAGTGAACTATCTGTAGGAATTTGAGAATAGATATCTGTGAATCAATAATATGCCAGTTTTATACAGCTTTTTTTCCTGCAAAATTTCAAATGAACTCAGGTATCTTCCCACATTATTAGCAAAGGGTTTTTAAGCTCTTATTTTATATTGGAAATTGGCAAGAAAAAAAAGCTTTCACTTTTTTTAAAAAAGGATCTTTCTGAGAATAAATGAGCGCATTTTTCCTAATTTAAGATTGAGATTTAAGGCAGTAAAATGTGGGATTCAAAACAATTGTTAAATATTGTTTCTGATTTTACCTCCTTCTAACAATTTCTAATTCCATGGCATTACTATATTTAAAAATAGGGTAAGTAGTGTCATTAAGTTTTTAAATTTGGTATAATTTAAAATTATTTTAGCAGGTTATACGACCTAAAATTCTGTTATATCTTCCATAGTAGCAGGAAAAGTTTTTGCTTTATAGCTTATTTGTAGATAATAGTACAAAATTGTATATGTATACTGTTTGGCATATTTTCTTCTTTTTCTGAAAACCATAACTGGTATAAGATTAGTGTTCTAATTTATATTTATTTAAAAAACTTCTTACAATTGAAATTTTTGAAGTAGGAAATGTCTGTCCTTGGTAATTTAACCTGTACCTGAATTTTGGTATTCTTTGTCATCAGCATGAGCAGCATTATTAAGGAAAAGATTGAAATTCAGCCTTTTTCTCTCTCTCTCTCTTTTTTTGTGGTGCTGGGGATTGAACCCAGGGCTTTGTGCATGTGTGGCACGTATTTTACCAATTGAGCTATATCCCCAACTCTGAAATTTAGCTCTTGAGTTATGAGAATTTCTTAAAATGCCAGATTCTTTTAAATACCCGTTTCTAGGCTCTTGAGTTTTTAATTAAAGCTTTTTTTCAAAAACCACATTTTTTAACCTTTTATTCTTTTTTTGCTCATTCTATTCTTAAGCCATTTCCTTCTGTTTCTCTTCATTTTTTTTCCTTCAACTCTTTTGACTCCCTTTAGTATCTAGAAATGGTATTGGGGCACTAATCCAAGCCATTAAGTGACCTGGCAAACCCATATACAGATGTGGTTCATATATTTTTGCACAATTTTCCAAGTGGAAAATTGAGTGTACTTGACCTTCTATCTTTACCTTGCTCATATAGAAACTTAAGAATTTAAAAAAAACAAAAACAAAACAAAAAACCCCACAAAACTCTTTCTGATATATATTAGGGTGAGTTCAAACTCTTGGACATAAAATATGTTTATATCTTGAATTAAAAGTTTTTAAAGAGGAAAATTCTCCCCTAAACTTTGGGAGAGGTTTCCATTCTACTGCTTTCTCCCTGTGTTTTTGTTGTTGTTGTTGTTCTCAGTGGGTTAATTCATTCAGGGCTGCTTCTCTTTCCCTTTGCTTTTAAGTAAAATCATTTATGGCTTTTAACCACACCACTTTGGGGGGTAGAATTTTGCTAACACATTAAAATCCAAATCTGCCAGTATAATCTCCTTTAAAGGCCATGTTTAGAAACTGAATTCTCACAACTGAAGGAACCTGACACAAAAGAAACTGGTAAAGAACATAATTTTAAAATAATAGCTGTTACTTCCTTAAAGAATTTAAATCAATTTATATAAATATCTTTTATTGAAGCTACTTTGCACTAGAGCTTTCCTCAGTATATGTATTTATCTTTTTACTATGTATTTTTAAATAATTTTAAGGAACCATATATGTTTTGTTGTTTATTGAATAAGATCCCCTTCTTAACCTTTACTTCCTCATTAAATAATTTATACTTTGAAAATAAGGATTTGGTTATCTGCTTGATTCTATAATTGTGTATATTTTAGTACGACATATGAAATACAAAAGAACAAAATCCTTGCCTCCGGTGTATGTGTATTGAGGTTTTAATAATGTGAAAGGTAGGCAGTTTCCAGTAGATCAGCACTTGAGAACAGAGAGCTTAACCTGATTAAGGATTTTTAAAAAGGATTGTTCATGGTTTAGTTTTTCTTGTCCAGAGGTGACGTTTTATATAGTACTGTTATTTCACTGAAGTTTGCAGTTTTTGCTTCCGGGTGATTTTGACTTCCTGATATTCTAGAAGTAGAACATGTAAAATATACACATTTCAAAACACAGTTTAACAGACAATTAAAATTTAAAGGGTTAAAAAAGCAGTGAGGGGAATGAGGCCATGAAATTAAACATCCAGAAAATATTTTTCTAACTGTTGCTTTGAGAAGAACTCTGTGGCCATAAGATATGTTTACATCTTGGATTAAATGTCATTCTACTATTTAGAAATTTGTTTTAAAGAAATGTTTATAAAACATTTGGAAAATATCTTTTTTAGAGTTTATATTTTTTAAAATATAAAGTTGCAAAGGTCTTTAAAGATGTTTAATATTCTTAGAATTTCATTTTAACGTGCAAATGTACCCAGCAAGAATTTGGATGTAAACTTCTCTAGTACCAGAATTTGTTATAATTAGTAAGGGAAAGTTAATATATTTTTTATTCTTCCCCCCTAACTTAATTGACTTTTCTTTAAAGTTGGTCATTGGATCATCCTGTAGGCTACATTTAACATTACACTTATATAATTGATTACTTTTATCCTCTTCCCAATTCTTCTTTTCTTACCACTTAATTCTATGAACTGTTTTAAATCAAGGAAAACTCTTTCACTGCTTGTGCATATTCATTTGTTCAACAAGTAATTGAGTTTCTACACTAAGTCAGTTTTCATGGTGGGCACTGAGGATAGAAACAAGATTACCTGCACCCTTGTTTTCATAGAATGTATATTCTCTATCAGGGAAAATAGATACTCACACAGGTAGTTGTAATAAATCACAGGGTGTGATGGAGTGCACATCAAATCTAGATTAGGGTCACAGAGGACTTAACAGAGGAGACATTTACTAAGCTGAGACCTCAGAGTTAGGGCACTTCAGCATGTATGAAGGCCTAGAACACTGATGTGCACTAGTTACATTGGCAGAGTTATAAATAAAACATTTATAATAAGTGATTATAAGTCAGAGTTGTCTTAATAGTATTGAATAGCAGCAGACCTTCGTGTTTGTTTCTACAGTCTTTTGTGCCCCTTACTTTGAACCTTCTTCTGTCGCCTATTTCATTGTGTCCTTCCTCAGTTATTCCTGCATTTCTTTGCATCTTTGGTCTTTCTCTTTTTATTGTTTCTTCCTTTTTGGTATATAAATATGGTCAGCTTTCTACAAAATAGCTCCCTCTATACTTCCTCCTCTATTTTCTGTTAGACATAACCATATTTGAAAAGTTTTTGTAGCCTTGTCCTCCCCATAAAAGACTAACTGCTATAGGAACTTTCCTCTTAAAAATCTAGCAAAACAGTGTGAAACAACTGATTTTTAGATATTGGAGAAAATCCAGTGCAAAACAGTGATGTCCTTTTATCTTCCGAACTTGTAGTTCCTTAAAATATACTTCATAAGTTAGTTAAAGATGAAGGAAGCCATTTATGATGTTTTTTTTTTTTTTTTTTTTTTTTTGGTGCTTAAGGATTGAACCTATGGCCTTGAGCATGTTAGGCAAGCATACTACCAATGAGCCACATCCACAACCCTAAAGAAGCCAGTGTTTGGATAGATAAGTACTTTTTCATCAGGAATTAAGCCTTAAATAAATGAACTTGGTAAAAGATTTAATGGAGCCAGATGCAGTGGTACATACCTATAATCCCAGCTACTTGGGGGGTTGAGGCAGGAGGATCACAAGTTCAAGGCCAGCCTGGGCAATTTAGTGAGAACCCTGCCTCAAATTTGAAAATAAAAAAGGTATGGGGATATTACTCAGTGATAGAGCTCCCCTGGATTCAATCCCCAGTACTGAAACAAAGATTTAATGCTTGTTTGTAGGAAGAGGTTAAATAAGGGTGCTTTTTTTTTTTTTAATTTGTTTGTTATTTTCTGGCACTGGCATTAAACCTGGGGTCTCACACATGCTGGGGAAGCACTCCACTGCTGAACTCCACTCCCAAGTTCCCAACCACCCTCCTTTTAAAAATTTTAATTTGAGACAGTTTATTTAGTTGCTCAGACTGGCCTCAAACTCAAAATCCTCCTGCCTCAACCTCCTGAGTAGCTGTGATTACAGGCATGTGCCACCTTACCTGGCTAGAATTTAATCTTAGATTTATAACAAAGCATTTAGTTTATACAACATTTCTCATTTACTAATGGTAGTTTGCATTAGAGCTTTTCAAAGAATTTTCTAAGAATATATCTTTGACCTTTTAATATATTTTTCAAAGCATTTTAAGGGACTCAATGCATTCTTAAAGTATCTACATAATTCTGGGTGCCCAGAGTCTTGTGATTCACACATTTGGTAAAGCAGCATATGGGAGAAGGAAATGGAAATAACTAATGGGACATAGGTCTCAGCAATGGTGCTATCTGTCAGATTAGCAGTGAATCCTGGTGGTACCTTTTGATACTGTTTGGCAAGATCAATAGCAGTCTTTTGGTTTATTAGTATATCTTACTAATCTCTGAAATATCAGTTGGCTTTTGGTGATTTGGGGCCTAATAAAATTCAGAGGTATAATATTTTTAAAAAATCCATTTGTAATTTAAGGCAATTACTTTAAATATTAATCCTTTAGATATTTGATAATACTATGTTTAAATTGAATATAAATAATTCTTTGACCCATGGTTTACCCAGCCAGTTTCACTTTATGTGTATCTTACAGACTTGGAATACTTCTTCATTTTCTTTCTTTCTTTCTTTTTTTTTTTTTTTTTGTAGGCACATGAAGCAACATTGGAAGCTAGAGCCAGTCCAGAGATGAATGACCGAATTCAGCAGTTGGAGAGAGAGATTGCCAGGTACAAAGATGAATCTAGCAAGGCCCAGGCAGAAGTAGACCGCCTTTTGGAAATCTTGAAGGAAGTGGAAAATGAGAAGAATGACAAAGATAAGAAGATAGCTGAATTAGAAAGGTAAGGAGAGGGAAATTGAATGGGACTCACTGGGTTAGAAAAAGTAAAGTATGTATTTTTGAGGGCATACTTGTTTCAGTATTGTGTGCCTCTGAGTTTAGGGTCTTGAATGCTTGTTAATACTTTATTATCTACTTATTATTCTAAATCAGTACAAATTCTTTGTTGCAGTCTCTAAAAGGCAACATAGAAAGGGAGTAAATTTAGAAACTGTTGACCTTAAACAAAAGAGAAAGTATTCATTAATTGAAAAATTAAAGTTTTCAACTGACTGATTATAAGTGAAATAACTACTTGCTTTTTATTATTTATTGTTCTAGATAATAAGCAAATGGTCCTCCTGTATAAGGAGTTAATATTGTATCATTGGTTTAGACCCTTTTGGCTGATCAGATGCTCTTTTGGGATTGTGAATTTTTGACGAGGTCGTGGAGAAGCAAATTCTTACATCAGTCAAGGAAGCGTGACATTTTAGGATAATTTTGGAAACACAGATGTAATTTTTATGGGGCCTGAATTTGAATTCTTCAAAATGGGTATTTGAACAGATTCTGCCAGATATTTCTCTTATAATTTTGTCTTTTTTAAATTACTTTATACTGAAGACCAAGTATATGCCTGTTAATCTCTTCTTTCATACCATGTATTTAACATGAACTCACAAGTGCATTGAGACAGCTCTTCCAGTGGCAATTGATTACCTGTGTTCTTCTAAACAGCCAGAAAGATTGACAGTGACAAAATGAAGTCACTAAGCTATGTGGCTTCTTGAGGGCTGTTTCTTAAGAATAATTTATTTTTATATTCTTGAGGGCTGGGAAGTTTTAGATTACTTTCATAATTTATTTACTGAGTTTTAAATTTGGGGGGTGGTTATTGATAGGCTTGTTATTTTCCATTGAAGTTATTATTTCCTCCCCTTCTACCCATATAATTTTGATTTTCAAGAAACCAAAGCAATAAACTCCAACCCTCATAGTTTTACACTGTATGAAAATGTGAATAATATGGGCTTTTGACCTGCTGGCACGTTTTTTCTTATTTTGGTATTAACTCTATTCTTTTTCTCTAGTTCTGGATAAGACAAATGGATATAATTCTTTAAATCAAAAGAACTCTTGATTGTAGACTATGCATTTTTATTTATTTGTTTTTCTAAAAATATCAATTTTATTTATTTATTTATTTTTAAATATGGTGCTGAGGGTCATCAAACCCCATTCTTCACTCTTGCTAGGCAAGCACTCTACCACTGAGCTACAACTCAAGCCCCTGAGCATTTTTATTCACATTAATCTTTGCACTGTGTTCCTTCTCCAGCATGTGAGCATGCCCGATGTATATACACAGACACTTTTATATATTTACATGAATACATATCTTAATCTATACCTCCTTTTGTTTTTTTAATGGGCCTAAAATCAGCAGCAGTACTGCATAAACATTAAAATATGATACTTTTGACTGATTACTGACATCTCATTAAATGTATTTCAGAAGTTGCTTGAGAATATTTCATTTTTAAATGTGATTTTTTATATTGGAAATCTGCATTTGAAGCTGAGTGAGGTGGTCCATTGCTCATAAACCTAGCTACTTAGGAGGCTGACACAGGATTCAAATTCAAGGCCAACATTGGCAACTTGGTGAGACCCTGTCTCAAAAAGAAAAAGACTGGGGATGTAGTCTAGGGTAGGGGAGTGCCTATTATTCATGAGTGCTGAAGTTCAATCTTCAGTACCACATTAAGAAAAGAAAAAGAGGAGCTAGGGCTATAACTACTTACGTGGCATGGGTGAGACACTGGGTTTGAACCTCAGCACCACATAAAAAGTAAATAAATAAAGTTATTAAAAAATATATATGTTTTTAAAAAAGAAAAGAAAAAAATCTACATTTTGAAAATATTGCTTGCTATTCCATAAGCTTACTTGAAGAACATTATTGCATTTTGGGACTTATACTGATTTTGGGAGTGGACATAATGTGAGGGAGAATAAGAAACAGAACTAAGTCTATATCTTGTATCCAAAGTACACCAAATAGCTGCTTTTAATAGTGACTTTGTTTTTCACTTCGTAAGAAAGAGTTATAAATGACCTATGTAACTTTTAGTGTATTGGAGAAAGCATAGTTCTAGCCTCTCTGCTCATGCACCTGTAATTTTGTTTGAGGATTTGAGACAAAGATTTTTGCGTATCAGAAAATAAAATAAAACTGCACACCAAAAAACAAACAAACAAACAAATGCAGCATTTTCTCTAACTCAGTTTTTGCTATCAGCTTTGTAATTTGTTACTCAGAAACATAGTTTGAGGTATTGAATAAACAGTAGCACCACAGAATTTGTAAAAGAGATCTACTATGGCATTCCCCACCCCCCTTGCAAACCAAATTACTTATTTATTTACTTATTTACTTACTTACTTATTTATTTATTATGTGGTTTTGAGGATCTAACCCAGGGCCTTGCACGTGCTAGGTGAGCGCTTTATCACTGAGCCACAATCCCAGTCCTTCTATTATGGCATTTTATGAAGAGGAAACCAGGAGCCAAGGAAATTACTCCTGAAATTAAACAGTGGTGGAGCTGGAGCTAATAGAATGGGGTTTTAAATTCCAGCTCAATTTTCTTTCTATTTCAACAAGATTAATTATGTTCTTTTTGGACTTACTGGCAACTATGAAACACTTCCTACCTTGATGGGATTTATTTTTTGCTCATTGTTGAACCAATGCCTTAAGCAAAAGTGTCTATAGATAGGATTATGACTTACTTAAAAACTAAGGTATATTTTAATTTTACTTAGCTTTTGAAGGCCATTTTTTAAAGATGTGTTGACTTTTTTAAAATATTTTTATTAGTTATTGATGGACCTTTATTTATTTATTTGTTTATATGTGATGCTGAGAATTGAACCCAGTGCCTCACACATGCTAGGCAAGTGCTCTACCACTGAGCCACAACCCCAGCTCCTTGAAGGCCATTTTTAATAAACTGAACTGTGCTTATTTGAGGAGTTATTCAGTGCATTTTATGTTAAAGACAGCTGAGATTATGTCATATATTTGTTCCTAGATTTAGTACTGAGGTGCATGTGTGTGGCTGCTGTGTTTCTTACTAACCATTTGCTTCTTGTGTTGCCATTCCATTGTTTCCTGTGTGTATGTATGGGTGTCTGTTTCCCTGTGTTTTATCATTTTGAGTTTCTTCATCTTTCTTTTGATTTGTCTTACCATGGTCCTGTTCCATTGGGGGTTTTTGTGTCTTTTTGTTTATTTGTGTGTGTTCCCTCTACCCATTGGCCATGCTGTTTCTCAGAAAGCCAGTCTCCTGCAAATTGTACCCTCCACACCAGGTTTCTGTCCCTGCACCACCTGGGGGGTTTGTTTGGGACTTACTGGGAAAGTGAGTGATATGTAAGGCTACAGTCTTATACTAGAGTAAATTGCTGCTGCTGTTCTTGCTACTGCTGGGGCTTGCTGGGGATTTTGCTTGATCAGAATTAAAGAACAGCCAGTTACACTGTATTTCTTAGTTAACCTGCTTTTGGATAAAATCAGTCTATGTTCTTTTGGGTAAGGTTCTGTACTGCTAGTTGAAATCATTTTAGTCTTTGTTTCCAGCTATCTTTTATGTGGTTGTGCTTACACTGGCTTGCCCTTTGAGTGGCTCCTTAACTGATAAAATTATTTCACCACATTTTAATTCAGCATATAGAATTCATTTCTAAAGGACACTAAGCAATCTTTTAAGTGCAAATATTAAAACAAACTATATTGTAATTATTAATAGATTAATCATTAATATATTTTCATTAAACCAAAGAAAATTCTTAGTATTCTATGCATTTCATAGTACTTCTTATGTAAGAATTTCCAGTATGAAAAGATTTAGGTTATATCATGAAGTATTTCCACTTGTATTCTTTGTGGACTAGAGAAATAAATGAATGGTCCTTTCTAATGTTGACTCCTAAAGAAAAGAATAGTTCTTGTAGCAAAATGATTTAGTGTTATAGCACTCACTTGTTTTAACATTATACCAGTCTCTTGACCTATTGTAATTAAAAAATAAAATTGGACAAGTCCACCTATACCACTGCAAATATAAAATATTTTCTTCAGGTAAATGTGACTACTTCTAAATTCACATTCCTTACTGTGGTGTGAATCAGATCGAATTTAAGAGAAAAAGTACACATAGGGCATGTATACACAGAGAAATATACACACATATTAAGAAATTTGTTATAAGGAATTATTTTGCGTGGTTGTGGTGGCTGATTAGGCAAGTATGAAATCCTGTGGCAGGCTGATAGGAAGGGAAGATCCTGAGCAGGAGGGAACTTGTGTCAGCACAAGCCAAAGTGTTGTACGTGGGTAGAATTTCTTCTCGCTCCTAGGGAAATCTAGACCTTCTGAAGGATTCGGTTGTGCCCACTCAGATTATCTGGGATAATCTCCCCTAATTAAACTGATTAGAGGCTTTAAGTACATCAGCAAAATACTTTCACAACACATCTATCTAGATGGGTGTTTGATTGACTCACTGGGTACTGTAGCCTAGCTGAGTTAATACTTCAAGAAAGCCATCATCTAGTGGCTTTGGATAGTTTGCATAGAAAAAAAATCAAAACAGAGTTTGTAATGTCCCTATATAAATGGATAGAATTAGATTAGCCTCAGGAATGCCAAATGTAATTGAGAATTTGTCTTCTAAAATAAGCATGTTGGAGTTTCTATTTAGATTCACAATAAATAGGCTTTTCTCTTATATAATGTTTATGATTTTTAGAGACAAGAGTAATGATAGAATTCTGTTAGTATTTTTTCAATCTTCTGAAAGAATTGTTTGTTGTCTGCTCTTTCACTCATGTTATCCCTTTTTGCTAAATAATCATATGATGGCAGTACACTGGGGACATTGTTTCCCGTGCCATATATTGTGTTCTGTTTTACATTTTTGCTTTATTGCCTTTTTATAATCCCAAATGAAT